TTTGGCTTCTATATTATATTTTAAAGTTATATTTTCGTACTTTTAAAAGCCAGGCGTGGTGGTGCACGCCTTTAATCCCAGCACTCAGGAGGCAGAGGCAGGCAGATCTCTGTGAGTTTGAGGCCAGACAGGTCTCCATAGCAAATCCAGGCCATCTGTGGCCACAGGAAACCCTGTCTGAAAAAAAGAAGAAAAAAAACCCTCGTATTTTTATTTAATGCTTTATTTATGTATTATTGTGTGTGTGTTTTATGTACATGGGGATCATGAGACTAGAAAGGGGGTCATGAAAGGAAAAGAAGCTACCTGTAGGGTGTGGAGTCATTCACAGGAATGTGGTGGACCTACCAGGACCTACCAAGAAAACTGTCTCTCTCTCTCTCTCCCCCAGAAGCAATCAACTGTCAATAGTTCTACAGCTAGGGGTGGGGAATCATGAGCCCCTTCCCCCTCTGTGCTGGAATGTTGACTGGCTTGATCTTCTGCAGGTCTTGTGCAGGCAGCCACAGCTGTTGTGAGTTCATGAGTGCAGCAGTCCTGTCATGCAGAAGACAGTTTCACTCTGGTCCTCCATGACCTCTGGCTCATACAATCTTTCTACCTATTCTTGGAAGATATCTTACAGGAGGGGAGAAGAGAAGGTGATAAAATACATATGATAAGAAAACAAAAGGTGGGGCTGGAGAGATGGCTCAGTGGTTAAGAGCACTAGCTGCTCTTGCAGAGAACCCAGGTTCAGTGCCCAGCAAAAACATAGCGGCTAACAACTGTTCTTAATTCCAGTTCCTGTGGATCCAACACCTTCTTCTGGCCTCCGTGGGCATTGTACACCACAGGTGCACTTACATGCATGTAGGCAAAATACTCATATGCATAGTTTTTAAAAAAGAGCAAACTGGGTGGGGGATTATCTGGGGGAAGGAAAGGAGCCAGTGGAGGGAGGGAGAACAGGGTCTATAAGGGAGGTTAGTGAGGGAGGAAAGTTGGTGAGAACAAAGTATGTAAGAAAATGCCATAATGAAATGTATTACTTTGTATGCTCACCTAAAAAATTAATTAAAAGAAAAATAAAATTTTCAGGGGGCTAGAGAGATGGCTCAGTAGTTAAGAGCACTGACTGCTCTTGCAAAGGACCCACGTTTGATTCCCAGCACCCATATGTTGACTAACAACCATCTTTAATTTCAATTTCAGGGGACTGATGCCCTCTTCTGACCTTTGCGGGCATTGCACAAGACAGGTGCACTTACGTGGATGCAGGCAATACACTCATACACATAAAATAAAAATAATAAAATATTTTTTAAAAATAAGATGGGTCAGGAAATAAGGCCAACTTTTGACAAATGGTATCTCATGAAGTTAAAAGCTTTGTACACCAGAGACACTGTTAATTGTATGAAGAGGCAGCCCACAAAATGGTAGAAAATCTTTACCAGCTACATATCTGACTGAGGATTAATATCTAGAATATACAAAGAACTCAAAAAATAAACATCAAGAAAACAATCTAATCAAAAAATAGGATATGGAAATGAACAGAGAGTTGTTGAGAGAAAAAAAATGACTAATAAACTTTTGAAAATGTTTTCAATATCATTACCCATCAGAGAAAGGCAAACTAAAATGCTATGAAGTTCCATCTCATCCCAGTCAGAATGGCTATCAAGAAAACAAATGACAACAGATGGCAAAGATGGGGGGAAAGGGATCTCCTTACTCATGGTTGGTGGGAGCATAAGCTGGTACAGCCTCTGTGGTAATCAATGTGGAAATTTCTCAAAAAGATTAAAATAGAACTATCATATGTGCCAACTAAACCTCTTCTGAATATATATCTAGATAGATAGAAGATGATGATGATGATAGATAGATAGATAGATAGATAGATATAGATGGATAGACAGACCGACAGATGATACATACATACCTACCAACGCACAGATAGATGATACCAGATAGATGAGATAGATGATGATAGATACCAGATAGATGATACATAACATAATAGCATGATAATACATAAATAGACATGTGGAAGGGTTCTTGGCTGGATTGATGGATGAAGGTGTGCATGGATGGATACATAAGACACCACATGCTAAGTACAGCACAACACATGATAGCAGACCCACTGCAGAAAAATAAAAGCTTTTATTAGGATGATCCAATTATTGGAGATACCGTGACTTAACATTGCAATGTCTCCTATATTTCAAATTCACTGATATTTGAGACCCTCTTAACCCAGCTGTTTCCATCAGTTCTCTTTGTCTTTTGGTGTTTGTTCGGCCCTGGCTGCCATTGCGACACAGAATAGCCCTGGCTTTTGTTTGCTCCTCTCTGGAGGGCCCAGGCTTCTTGCCCTTTCTGGGGATTTTGGCCTGGGCCCTATCAGATCAGGGATGCTGGCCGGTCCATCTGTCCTTGTCCATACTCCCGGGGAATGTGCCCGGGATGCTGTCTGCTGTTTGACCTCCCTTCCTCCATCCCTCCCTCCTGCCCCGCTGGCTCCCTTCCTCCCTCCCTCCCTCCCTGCCTCCCTGCCTACCTGCTACCTCCCTGCATAC